TGCAAAGGAAAGAATCAGTGAATCGAAGACAGGTTAATGAAAAGAATCCTAACTGAATAAAAAGGAAAAAAAGTAGAGGAAAATCAGGCAGGAGCAAACAATATTTGTGGGACAACATCAAACATGCAAATAATTGGAGTCCCAGAGGAAGAGGAGATAATGCAACAGAGGAAACCTATCAAGGGACAATAGCTAAGAACTTCCCAAAATTGGTGAAAAACACTAACTCGTAGATACAAAATCCTCAGCAAGCCCTAAGCAGGATTAATGCAGAGAAAAATAAACTTAGGAACATCGTAGTAAAACTGCTGAAAACAAAAGATAAATAACAGACCTTAAAAGCATCAGAGAAAAAAGGTATAGGTATAGCACAATATATAATAGTGATGTGAATGACGTCCAGCTTCTCACCAGAAAAAGTGGAGGCCAGAAGACAAGGGAATGACCAAAAAACACCCACAGTATATAAACAAACAAACAAACTAGAATTCTATACCTGGTAAAAATATTATTCAAATCGAAAGTGAACTAAAGATAGTCACTGACCAAAACTGAAAGGATTCCTCTCCAGCAAACCCATCCTATGAGAAATGCTAATAGAAATTTCCCAGATGGAACTCCAGATCTGAAGGAAAAGGTGAAGATTACCAGAAAGGGTAAATATTACATCATACATTGATGGTTTAAACCAAAAATAATAACCATTTGTAAGAGATATATATATGTATGTGTATATATATATTATAAAGTGATAAAGAAGAATAAAGTTGGAGAGCTTACACTCTTTAAATTCAAGAATTATTATAAAGCAAGGTAGTGAGGGGCTCCCCTGGTGGTGCAGTGGTTAAGAATCCGCCTGCCATTGCAGAGGACATGGGCTCAAGCCCTGGTCCGGGAAGATCCCACATGCCGCGAAGCAACCATGCCCGTGCGCCACAACTACTGAGCCTGCGCTCTAGAGCCCGCGAGCCACAACTACTGAGCCCACGTGCCACAACTACTGAAGCCCCCACGCCTAGAGCCCGTGCTCTGCAACAAACGAAGTCACCGCAATAAGAAGCCCGCGCACCACAGCAAAGAGTAGCCCCCGCTTGCCGCAACTAGAGAAAACCCATGCGCAGCAACACAGACCCAACGCAGCCAAAAAATAATTAATTAATTAATTAATTAAAAAGCAAGACAGTGAAACACTGGTATAAAGATAGGAAAACAGATCACTGGAACAGGATAGAAAGTCAAGCATAGACCCATACCTGTATGGCCAGTTACTCGTTAACCAATGTAGAAGGGAACATTTTTTTTTAACAACCGTAGGTGGAACAACTAGACATCTCCATGCAAAAAAAAATGAAAAGTAACCCCCTACCTCATTCCATACTCAGAAAAAAAAAATGTGTGGTATAGAGCAAACCTAAGTATAAAACTAAGAACCACACAAATTCTAGAAAACTTGGAGAATATCTTCACAATTTGGGGTAAAGTAACAAACTCCCTCACCACCTCCGACAGCCATGCCCAGGCCTGGCACATAAGGTGTGTTCAGCACAGACTTGTGAAGGGAGGGAGGGAGGGCCGGGGGTGGGCTGGGCAACAGCAGCACGTGGAGGTTCGGGGTGACCCACTAACTCGCTGTGGATGCTCTGCAGGCCCATGGGCAGCTCTTACTCTTTCACAGTCCATTCACACCTCAGCATCTTGGTCGCTGCGCCCTATCCCCACCTACACCTCAGCATCCAGTCTCAGGTCCTTGTAAGGCAGGGTAAGCCACGTCTCCGTTGCACGCCGTCATCAAGGTATCAGATGTCTCTTGGGATTCTAACAGCTCACCAGACCTTTCTCCTAGTACTATGGCAGGCACCTCTGTGCACCCCGCTCGACCCTCCGTGGTCCCACGTGATTAGACCAGGGAAGCGCGCCTGACTTGCTTTGCTGGGCCAAGCACACGGGGAGCAAGTAGGGGCTCCACACTCAGATTTCCCGGGAGCATCTCTTATCCCTCCACTCGCTGGCTATATGACCTGACCTTGGACAAGATATTATACTTCTCTGTACCTCCATCTGCTCTTCTGTAAAAAGAGGAGAGGTTTCTTAGGAGGTCAAAGTGACACAAGCAATGTACTTAGAACAGTGGTAGGCACATAATAAGCACCCAAAATGATAGCTGTTATCCTCTCCCGGGAATTTAAAACTGGGAGCCAGAAGTGATGTGTGTTTGGGTGCGGGAAGCGAGCACCCTCTACCATGTGGATTCTTAGTGGGATCTACTGGGGAGGGGAGTTTGGGAACCTTTATGAGGCCTTAGACTTGAACAATTGTCTTTTCATTTGATGTCCGGAGGTTTTTACACCTGAGTCAATGAAGATCCTGGTGAGTGGGCCGTAAACCTTTCTTCTAAGTGGAAAAAGGGCAGTAGTGAAAGGTTGGGAAGGGGGACCCTCCACCTCAAGGCCCTTCTCAAGCAGACCAGCTTTAGGAAAGAGGAAATATGGGATTGAGGATCTGGGAAAATGTGTCCATACAAACTTTCACCAGAGAAAGACGCTCTGCAGAGAAAACAGGTGTGGATGCTCCTTTGCAGCCCTTATACCATGGATCGGACGTCTTACAGGGCCCCTTCCCATGCATTCACCCATGGGACATTGCACCTTCTCACATGGAAGTGTGCAGCTGTAGGTTTTGTTTTGCTTTACTTGTATTTTTGGTTTTCTAAGGGATTTTGCTATTCCCATTAATAAATGTCTTTGTAATTACAGTGCTTTCTTGTTTTTATGTTTATTTTTTTAATAAATATTTTATTTATTTTGGGCTGCACTGGGTCTTTGTCGCTGCACGCGGGCTTTCTCTAGTTGCGGTGAGTGGGGGGCTACTCTTCGTTGTGGAGCACGGGCTGTAAGCGCATGGGCTTCAGTAGTTGTGGCACACCAGCTCAGTTGTGGCTTGCGGGCTCTAGAGCGCAGGCTCAGTAGTTGTGGCGCACGGGCTTGGTTGCTCCACGGCATGTGGTATCTTCCCCGAGCAGGGATCGAACCCGTGTCCCCTGCATTGGCAGGTGGATTCTTAACCACTGCGCCACAAGGGAAGCCCCCTTTCTTGTTTTTAAAGCCAAATTTTATTTTAAGAATAATGTTTGCTAACACAGGTCTTCTGTCCGTCCATGGTAGACAGTAATTACAGGTTAAAATGCAGGGAAGGATAAAAGGGGGGTAAGCTGTCCTCTATCTATTTGTGGCCATCTTCTGCTGTCTCTACTGTCACCCAGGCTCAGGTGCAGCGCCCCTCCCAACAACGTGAAATCCTCTTCAGATGCTGTCATTCCAGTAACTTCTACTTCTCCTTTCCCTGGTGGCCTCTTTCCCTCCTCTTGTGTGACACAATCCTTTTCCTTTGTATGCTGTTGATGAAAATTCCTGGTATCTTATAGGTTAAGTCTCTTCTTGTATCAATTTCACAGCATTTTTCAGTTGGCCGATGGGACAAACTGAGGCCCTGATGTGTGCTCAGGATAAAACAGATCCATTTTAACACCACCCAGTTTTTTCTTTCTCCACCTTGACAGATAAGGAACTTGAACTTCTGGAGTGGTAACTAACTTCCCTGGTGTCCCACAGCAAGGGAGGCAAATGGACACTCATATCCAGGCCTTCTGTACCAAGTTGCAGGCTCCTGGTGCCATGCGGCTGCCACTGCCCCACTGCGTAGCTGAAAAGATGCTATTTGGTATATTAAAATATGAACTCCTTGAATTTGAACTCTGGGTCACCTTTAGAAACTCAACCATGTCAAAGCCCTAAGTAGAAGGTCCCTGGGGTCAGGACTGTGTGACTCCATCTCCCCACAGCCCCCAGTGTGGGGCAGGGCCACGTCCCCCGGCGGTGCTCCTGGGAACAGCTCCTCAATAAGCCGCAGCATCCGAGTCTCAGTGGACCCAGGCTCCTCTTGGTCTACAGGTCAGTCATTGCTCATTAGCGCTCTGTAAGGCCCGGGAAGGGACGGGGGCTGGGGAAGGTCCTCGGAATATAGTCCCAGCCTTCAGAGAGCAGTCAGGGTGATGGAGGAGACAGACAAGCTTCCTGGGGAACACCTGCACTACAGGATCCCGGGATCGCAGCGTGTACCATCCACCCCTCACCTCCTTCCCTAAGGCCCCTCACCCTTCTCCAGTAGACCTTACGCCTGGGGCCAGACCACTGAGGCCAGTTTACTTCCCAGTCCTACTTGGGCACTGGTTTTTTTAAAAATATTCTTCCAATACTTTTATATCAAGAAATCTTCTGATCTGGGGTATTTCTACATGAGTTGCAATAAAACCTAGTAGGAATAAACCCCAGAAAAACGTTAAGTGGCAAACCGTTTACAAGAAGCACGTCCCACTTGGAAAGCAGGCACACACACAGTAAAAATACAGCCCTTTGCACTTACATTCTAAGTTAGAAAGCAGAGGTTCAGAATATCAAGCTTGAACCAGTAGGATTAAAGCAAGGATTCTGCCACTAGATGGAGAAATTGCTCCAGTCTAGCACAAGCGCGGTTCTGGCTCACTGCTGGGAAATCTTACCTGCAGGAAAGGTATTTACAAGTGCCATATTGTTAAAATGACTGTGGCAACTACACCTTACATTTATAAGCTGTAACATTTTGTCAATTCATTTTATGTATTTTTGCTTGAATGGGGTAGACATCCCATATTAATCTTTATGGCATCTGTATGTTCTACATTCTGCCATTACCATATTCATGATTCAGTGCCGACTATTTAACTCTCTCGAAAATCTTTTAACATTGTTTGCGTTTTGTGGCACTTAGCATTGAGGAAATAAATACATGCAAATTTCACTTCCAGTCCTGCAATTGATTAGGTAAAATATTAAAGTCTGGAACAGATTGAAAGCGCTTCTCCAGGACAGTCTTAACCACCAGCTATAACGAACAGCAAAATCTCATTCCGAAAGAGAAGTTTGAACAATAACTAGACCAACCAAATTTTGCACATTGCCTTTATTTTGCAGAAAATGCTTTCTGCTGATTGTCTTTGGCTACATTATCAGGAGAAAAATATAAACAGTTGTAGGTTTAACAGCACAAGAGATTAGCTACATATGCGTAAAATAAACACATTCTAGTGGGCAGAGCTGGACATTCCCATTTTGACTACAATCTGTTGTCCTCAACTATGATTTAATTGTCTTTCACAGCTCAGCTCCAACTGTGACCCCTGCCGCAAATGGGACCTGAAGGCTACTTGAAAGCAACAAGGAAGAGAATTAAAAGTGTGCTTTTTATCTCACTAGAGTAGGACCAGTGGAGTTTACATATGGATGTGCCAGAGTCACCTACGTGCTGTACGAGAAACAAAGTTTCTGCATGCTAGCAAGTCATTTTTACTGTGAATCACGGCGAGTTAGGCCAACTGCATTGCTTGCACACTTGAATTCACCTGCAGCACACAAGGACCCAGGACGGCACTGCTACCACCGAGGATGAACAAAGGTGGTGTCAGTGCGGCTCTCGAATGAACGTGTATTCTCCTCTTATTTATTTTAAGGCCTTATTCCCTTCCCCCTCCCCGTGAGCCTACCAATCAAGCCAAGACTTGCTGCCACGAGAAAGTCATTGCATCTTTAAGACACAGGCTCCGGCTCACATGGACGGAGGTGACACGGGCGTCCATGAGGCTAGGAGGCGGGCCTGGGCGGAGGCATCGTACTGGCTGTCGGCAATATCTGTGGCTGAGGAGGCCCCTTCGTACAGTGGGGATCCCGAGGAGGAGGGAGCGGAGACTGGATGGGCGAGAGAGGCAGAGTGGGCAGAAGAGCCTCGAAAGAACTGGGCTCCCAGCCCGTTGGATATCCCTGCCGCCTGGGCACCGGGGGTGATGGTGCCGCTGCTCACGGACCACAGGCTGGGGTACTGACTGAAATGGAAAAATGGAAAAACAGACAAGTCAGAGACCTGGGAAGGGGCTCCAGATCAGCTGCAGGAGGGGAAAACAAGCGCCCCAAATCCCACTCCTGATAAGTGGGTTATATGGCAGCTTTCTTTCAAACGGGCCACTTCCTCTGTGTTACTAAACCACACTCTGACGTGCATAGAAGTTATTGTCTCACGTATTAACAATGAACAAAATCATCAGGACAAAATCAATAGTTACAAAGGCTGCTGACGTAGACATAACTCCTGGCAGAGCAAAATACTCCAGCTTTGCTCACGTTCAGAATCCAAAATTCTCAGATATACTGAATCAGATGTTTCAGAGGATGTGTTTAAGTATCTGTTAACTAGCACGCCCCCCACCCTGCAGTGATTCCTTCGAGGGAGACCACAGGCTTCTCAAACACCGAGTGGTGGAGGGTAAGCATCCAGTGGCTGCTGTATGGGCAGCACGTCTCAGCACGCGTTAGTTAGCCTGACCCATGGCAGAAAGAAGTGCACCAGCAGTGAGACCCGGAAGCAAACCCCAATTAATTAGCTTTATCACGTTAGCCTTGTTCTGTGACCACCTCTGAGGCACCATTTCCCCATCTCTGAAAGAAGGAATTGGAAATGGGTATTAAACCCCCCAGTCTGGGAACACAGGCTTGAGTAGCATTACACTAGGCTACAATTTTGTTTCAGGAAAATGTAGAATCCTTTTATAAATGAATAATGAGAATGTATGCTGTCGTGGGCTATACAGTTCACCAAGCCATGTCCTGCACTTCAGATGCATTTGAACGTGGAAACAGGCCTGAGTTAAGTGAGGTAGGTTACCATCCCCATTTTACAGATGCAGAGAAACAAGGCTCCAAGATACACTGACAACCTCTAACATCCTCGGGGCTGGAGGGGGGCCCTTTGTAACCTACAGATCATCCAATTTACAGCAGTTTTCTAGATGCCTTCAGAGCCTTGGAAGAGCCCGCGGATTATGTATTGCTTGCTTTACTTTTAACAGTAGACAATTAGATTCTTATTTTAAAGGAATTGTTTCCTAAAAATAAAGAATTAAGATCTTAGGCAAATAACGATATTCTATACACAGAAACTGCGTTGTTTTTGAGGTCAAGATGCCTTGTCTACAGGCTCAGTCTGCTGTAAGCCAACTTGTCCAATCATGTAATATCTTTGAGTCCATTTCCTCATTAGAAAATGTGGACTGACCTCTAGCTTTGTTATTTTAGTTCTCTGTTGTAGTAATCCTATGAAGAAATGCACTACATTTACCGGCCGGCTTGATTTCTTTAAGCCAGTCTCCCTCTATATAATTTCCGAGTTAAGAAAACAGTCATCATTCTTTACAAGTTACCCAGCATATACGTTAAGAACATTGATTCTATATCCACAGAAATCCAACAAAGTTATTTCCTTAATTTAAATCCGCCTGTCAGAAAAGGTTCTGGAAACATTTCTGCAAAATTCACCCACTGACCCCAATAACCCTGTAAAGACAGGCTAAGGCTGGGGTTATTTAGTGCCCTTTTCTTGAAGAAACAAGGCTCCAGAGACTTGTCGATCACAAGAACTAGTAACCAGCAAAGCCAGGATAGGGTTCCTGGTTCCCTTGCATCACAGCCCAGCTCCCATCCAGCCTGAGGGAGCAACTGGTCTTCCCAGAGAACAGGCTGAAGCAGGAACTCACAGCATTCATGTAACCTGGGGTCCCCGGACACACCTGGCTAAACGGTCAAGTTATAAACAAAAACCCAACACCCATAAGTGAAGGGCAAAATAGAGGCCAGTGAATGAGATGGCATGAAGTCATAGGCACTCCCAGGACAGTTTGCATCATTCCCCAGACATACGTTACCTAGAGCCCGTAGGAGAACCAGCATTCGGACTCATGGGGAGCATGCTGGTGTGGGCAGGCATTCCAAGGCTGGACCAATTGTCGTGGGATGGGAGCATGGACAAACACGCAGATGAACTGTCAGAATATGCTACGGGACGTAAGAAAGTGTCATTACTGATGGGATCTTCCAAGAGTGACAAAGTGCATTGAAATACTACCAACAGCTGGAGCTACCCAACGTTGAAAACAAAATGTGTGCGATATTAAGTAGAGAAAACAGTCCACTAGCCTGATAAATTGGTCATCAGAGGCTAATACTTATTGTCCAATGTATATATTTGAATATATTCCAGTACCCAGGCTTTTTCTCTATCATTAGATCAACAGCTGCCCTGTAGAGATGGAATCCTACAATCACATGAATGAGGATTAATTACCTTTAAAAATAAAATCAATGCAATTTTATCCTGCCTTTTCCCCAAAGGATTATTTCTTAAGAATTAAAAGGGCTTTAGAAACCAGGCAAAATTTAAAATATGATCTTCTAGCCTCTGGTTGGACAACTATTTCCTTCCCAAATAAGCTCCTTTCATTTCAAATCAGCTTGAATTGCTTCATTGTTTTATGGTGTTCATTCGCTTTTTCCCTCCTTTTGGAGCCAGACAAAATGAAGTCTGGGCATCCATGGTGCTAGAGAGAATTAGGTCCAGGGATCTTCATGGTCTGGCCCGCTGATCACAAGACTCAAGCCTGCACCAGGGTCGCCTAGGGGCTTGTTAAACCACAAAGTGCTGGGCCCACCCCTAGAGCTTCTGATTCTGTAAATCTGGGGGCTTTTCAGATGATACTGGGGCTGCTGACCCGGGTACCATACTTGGAGAAACACACGTGTGTCAGTCAAGCTAGTAACTCGAGTGCTTGGCTGGCCCGACATCATCACTTTAGAAAGGGTTCATGAAATATCCAAACCTGGGCGCCTAGACATGGGCCCACAGTCCTGGAGCAAGAACGCTGGAGCAACAACGGCCACATTCAGCCCCAAAGGCCCCCTGGACTGGACGTCTCTGTGGTCGAGCCAGCAGTAACACGGACATGAAAAGAAGGTCCCTCTGGAGCCCTGCAGACTGCCTTTCCCTTTCCAGAGGTCTTCCGGCCACCCCCAAAGCCCGGGCCTGCTTCCGCTCAGGACTTACTTGGAGAATTGTTCCGATGCGCGTAAGGGCTGGGGTAGGGGGCTGGGCGGTGGTTCCTCAGGGCCGGGTACCTTTCACAGCCGTGCGTGGAGGGAAGAGAGAGGGGGCCTCCAAACTGAGGGTGAGGGGTGGCAGGTGGACACAGGGTGCTGGTTCCAGGAATCAACCACCCCCCTGCTGTGAGAGAAGAATGCTGAGTGCCTGACTTTTGCACCATTTCCATTATTTAAAGGACAGGAGGGGAAGCCCCCAGAGGTCCAGCGGTTAGGGCTCCGAACTCACTGCCCAGGACAAGGTTCACCCTGGTCAGGGAACTAAGATCCCACAGGCTGAGCGGCATGGCCCCCAAAAACCCCAAAACACACAAACAAACAGAAACTACCAAAAGACGGGAGGGCAGAGGTCAGGAAGTGGCAGATCTTTTGCTCAGGATTCGTGAACACCGAGGACCCAGCGGAGTCTTCAGGTGCCTCAGGCTGGCCAAGGTTTCTAAACCCACAGGACAGCCGAAACCCTGGGAGACTGACCCCGACCTCAGCCAAGCCTGAAGCCTCCAAAACACCCCTAGAATCCTCCCGGCCTCTTACGGGATGTTCCGTTCGCCCAAGCAGGTTAGCTTTCAGGGCCTACCTTCTGAGCTTGAATATAATGGAAAAACATACAGAATTCAGACTCAGAGCCAGGCGCATTCAGGACACACAGGGCGAGCCGTGCAGCGGAGGCCCTCGTCCCCCTCGTCCCACCCCACAGCGTCACACGGAGGGGTTACTGTCCTGGCTGGAGGGGCACCCATGTTCTGCTCACCTTTCTTCTGCTTTAGGCCCACACTCTCCCCGCCTTACACATCAATCAGAAAATTGTTCCAACATTGCCCTGCCCTCCTTTAAAACTCCAATTTCTTCTCCATTTCCTTTTTAACTTTAAAAAAGAAATCAGAAAAACAACCACTAGGAGGACGACAACTCTGGCTCCAATTCCCAAACTACAAACAATTCTTCAGACAACATTCAAATGAGGGGAAGGTCCAGATGTGGCCACAAAGTTTGGGCTCCATCACTTGCCAAAGAAGTTGTTCATATTCTGCTCTATGACGCGTCAGCCCATGAGCCACTTAGGAGAGCTGTTTGTTAAATTAGTCCATAAGATGACAAGAAGGGAGGGAGGGAGGGAGGGAGGGAGACAGGGAGGGAGGGAGGAAGAAAGAAAAAGAAATAGAAAAAGAAAGAAACACACACAGTTTGAGGAGGGTGCCATGCTGGTTCGTCCAGACTCCTGAAGTGGGCAGCAAACACTAACTTTCCTCTCTCAGGGTCCCCTCCCTGCGTGGAGAGGAGGGCTAGACACAGCCCTTCCTCCTAACAGACTCTGCTGCAGACCGGCGTCACTTCGCTGGCTCATGGAACTCCTAAAGGAAGCTAGACTTAAAGCAGACTTTCCCATCCTACGCTCCACTGCTTCCAGCATGAGCTGATGGGCCATTCCCAGAACCGAAGCAGGCTAAGGGGAAAACCACACGTGATCACAAGCATCGTCCCAAACATGGTCCTCCAGTTTTCAGTCATTAACAAAAAGAGAAACCATCTCAAAGTGGATACGAGCCGGGGCTCTCCTCTTGTCCAACACAGCAGGGTGTCAACACCCATCCAGGCCATGGTTGGAGCTGCCTTGAAGCACAGCAAAAGAACCCCAGTAAATTCTCCCCAGGCTTCTCTGTCAGGAGTCCTGTGGGCTGGGGGAGCATCCGCAAGCCCAGATGGAGCAGAGGCTGAGGGCCAGTAGGTTGAGGACCAGTCGTAACAGCATCAACACACAGGGCCAGGTGCCTCGCACAGCAAAGGTCAATGTGCTCCCCAAGTGCACCCAGAAGCTCTGTCTGCTCCATCCCCAGCTTCCAGCTCCCAGCAGGCTAGCCCCTGAAACAAGGTACATCTGGCCAGAGCGCAACAAACCGTACATGGGGAGTGCCCAGACTGCTGGCTGTCTCCAGGGTCTTCCATCACGTCCTTGTGATGGCTTCTGCCAAAGAAGTGCAGCGAATTGTCAAGGAGGACATTCAGAACACAGTATTTGCAGCAATAGTTCATCTTTCTGCACACTTCTTTGCTCAAAGGGTATAGTTAGAATTCTCTCACCTTTCCTTTGCATCAAGGAAAGCTTTTGCAAATGGATTGTATTTAATTTTAAGAGCTGTGATCTGAAAAACAAGAAGTTGCGTTTACTAGTATGTTGCTCATTCGCCAGAGGATTTAATTGGGCACCGAGAAATCAGGAACCACCAGCACCCCCTCTAAATATTCAAATATAATCAGATTTATTTCCTGGTATATCTTTCTATTTGGATCTGAGGTAGCCGAGGAATCATCATATTTTATAAAGAAGAGCACAGTTACGGAAAGCTTTTAGAGGCTGACTTTCCGAGTGGAATTCACAATACGTTTAACCCCCTGCTGACCATATGCTGTGTGTATCAACCAGACAAACAGGGTCCGCTTGGGAATAGTGACTGGTTCTAGCTGGCAGTCAACACCCAGCGACACCTTGACCAGCTAATCACAAAGCGCCTACACTTTGGGGTCAGACTCAGATATGGATTTACAGGCACTAAACTGTATTCTGTATCTAGGTGACTCTTCACACCACAGATTTGGAGGGATGCCCCCAACCCTTTTAGGAAGATTCCCAGAGTAAGGAGAGCCCCCCCCCTTTCTCTGAAGTCCTGTTCTTAAATTCTTACAGTCCTTTAACCTAAACGTTTTATTCATCTTTTCATTTTGAGCCTTTAGTAGTGGACACTTTTATGGAAAACTAAAGGGGAAAGTGCTTGAATGAGTACTTATTTTAAAACTTTTCTCCCGCTGTTCCAATTTTATAGTTACGGTAAATTACTTGAAAGGGCATTAATTATCAGTCTAAAAGTACAATAATCACACAGGCTCCTGGCATTCCCGGGAACCTCCAGCAGAGCATTCGCCAGACCGATGGCTGCCCGCGCCCCTCTCACCTCTTCATTCTGATAAGCGGTCACCGCTATGAACTGGGTCTCCGGGAAGCAGTGGCTGGTGATCATGCGCTGCGGACCCCCAACTCTCACGATGTGGATTCGAGGCTCATACTTATGTAAGGAGTTCAACATGATCTGAGAGACATAAACACGGGAATGGTGATCATCAAAGTCCTACCGTTAAGACGAGAAAACATCCATTTGTCCTGCTGAGGAGGAGAAAAATACATCCAAGATGCAGAAAATCCTGCAGCTCGCAGGAAAACGTCTTTCCTGTTGAAGTTGGTAGGTTTCCCATTAGGTGCTGCTCTCACCACTAGTTTGGAAAAGGAATGTGAGATGCTGCACACCATTAAAGGCAATGAATGCCCATCACGAAATGCTTTGACCTGGTAAAGTTCTAAGGCTTCCAGGGCAACTGCAGACAGCTTTAAATGCCTGAGCGAGATCGCAGCTTACGGGAACACCGGGTCTCCCAGTAACAATCCCCAAGTAAAGACGTTCTGTAGAAAAGAACAGATTTACAAGTTTGTTCAGACTCCACGCAGTAAATATGTGGACGTATTCAGCGCTAAAGCGACCGTTTACCATCAAGACTGGTATTTTCTCTATCCCTAGGAAAGTTGAGGGCTAGGACGCAAAAGTTCCCCCAAACTTGAGATCTGCCTGAGTGTTCAAAGGGGAGGCTTTGCGCCCTCTCCCCGCTCTCCAGGCCTTGGTGTTACCGTCGTCAGTTTACTATAAACAACACTGCAGGCTGAACCGAGGAAGGCAGATGTCATCTCCGTGCTGCGCGCAGCGCCCTTGCAAGGCTCCCCGGGGACAAGGTGCAGAGTCTCGGGGCCCATCCATTGAGCTTGTCGTCCGCCGCCCCGTCCCCGCACCCCATCACACCTACCTGGCCCCCTCCATTGAGCTTGTTGGTGAGCTTGACTTTGCTGAAGGAGACCGGCGCCTTCATCCAGTGCGCCCCGAAGTTGGGCGAGTCAGGATGGATGTAGACGCAGCTGGGCGCCTGCGGCTCAGGCTTGCCCCCTGGCACCCACTCCCCGTTCACGTACTTCCAGCGGTGGTTGTCGGCCGCCACGAAGTCCAGCAGGAAGGAGTACATGGCGTTGGGGTCCAGGCCAGACACGTTCACCTTCAGCACCGGGAACATCCTCCTGGAAAGGAAGGAGCGCAGCTGGAGGACCCTGGATCTGACCCGTTAGAACGAAGAAGCCAGGGTCATCTGCATTTGGAGCAAAGAGGAGCCCCCTTGGGAACTTACAAAGGGGACGCCCGAGCGCCCCCCTTCCCAGGACTCTCCTAGAGCCACAGGAGCCCTCCTCACTACCGCCCCCCCACCCCGGCCTCCAGAGGCAGGGCGGGAGAGGACCTGGCAGAGGGTTGCAGCACCCGGGTCCAGCCCGCGGGGCAAGCGTGGGCGAGGCGCGGCTCGGGGGAGTCCCCCGGGGAGACCCTCGTGCCCAGAAGTGAGGATTACGCGAAGAAGTCCCAGAGGGACAATTAGGGGCCACAAGGGTCTGTTCCCCAGTCTGAGCGGAAATGAGCAAAAAGACCGGGAGAAAGTGTTGGAAGGTAAGGAACTTTGCAGCCCGGCTGCCCGGCCCGCCCGAGTGCGTGGCACACGCCGGGTTGGTGCGCGCCTACCTGCCGTTCTTGGTCACGATCATCTCGTTGGTGAGCTCCTTGAAGCGCAGCCACAGCTCGCTCTCCTCCAGGCCCACTCGCAGCTCGCGTTCCGTGGGGTCGCCCTTCTCGCTGCCCGCCTGCAGCTCGCTCTCCACGGCGCTCAGCAGGTGGTCCACTCGGTACTGCAGGCTCTTCCCCGCGCCCTCGGTGCCGGGGGAGCTCATCCTCCCGCCTGCCCTCCCCACCGCCCCCCGAAGCCCCGACTTGCTACCCGAGAGCCACCTTCGCCCCAGTAGGCGGCCGCTCTTCCAGGAAGAGGGGCCGCTCGGGCCAAGACCTGCAACGGCGCCCGGGTGCCAGCACAGACCTGGGAGGAGGGCGAGGATAGAGATCCGGGGGGGAGGGGCGGGGGAAAGGGGTGGGGGAAGGTTATTCCACTTGAACTCCCGCAAGGAGCTACTGGAGGAGGTCTCCGGGGAGAGAAAATCGCCCCTCGGCATAAATAGAGCCTCGAGAGCCGCCGAGGGGGCGCGGCGGATTGGGCCGCGCGCCCTTTGAAGTGCCAGGACCGCTGCCCATTGGCCGCGAGCGGCCATATCAGACTCAGCCGGGCGCGCCGCGGAGGCGGGGGGCCAACAATGGGCTCCCGCGCCTGCCTTCTGTAAATCCGGAGCCAGGCCCCGCGAGCCCCGGCCCAGCGCCTACACCTCCGCCCTCCTCCAAATGTTTGCACCTCCATCAAAGCGGCCGGGCTGGCCCCGAAGGCCGGGAGGGGATGGGGGACGGACGGGGTGGGGATGGACGGGCAGGGCTCCCGAGCTCGCCCCGCACGCACCTCGCCGAGGAGTTGCCCGGCTGTCCGCGAAGCTCCCCAGCTCTCGCGCGCGGGGCCCTCCTCTCTCTCTCTCTCTCTCTCTCTCTCTCTCTCACCGCACCCGGGACCCCGCAGGTGTGCCAGCCTGGAGTCGCACCGCGGCTCTCACCTGCGCCCGAGCCTGTGTCCGTCCCTCGCCAGCGACCATCGCGCACAGCCACGCTTAAGGGCGCACCCTGTGCCTAGCCCGGGTCGGGCTGGTCTCCGCTCCTCCGAAGGCTCAGCCCGCCACCGAGCCCGGTGCCGTCCCGACACGTCCCTCGGCCCGCGGCGCTTCAGGTGACTCCGCTAACACCCACGACCATGGATCAGCCCACCCGGCGTCCCCTGTTCTCCGCAGCCCTCGCCTGCCTGGAAAGGGAGGGCCCACGCTCGGAGTCTCTGCCCACGGGCCCATCCAGCGCCCCGAGAGGGAGAGGATAGGCCGAAATCAACCAAACGACCCCTTTGGGGATGTTTCCTCGCTCCCCCCTTATCCAAGCAGGACTTTGAGGACGAGGTCTGTGCGTGCACTGAGTGTAACCCGAGAGGTGGCTCCACTTCTGTGGGTTCTGGTCTCTGCTTTCGCGGAAGGTGAGAGTGGGAGGGGGCGGGCCAGGCGTTCCTGGCGAGCCGGGTTCCAGGGGCGTCTTCCCACCCGGCCGGCCGCAGCGCCCGGCCGTGCGGGGCTCGAGTGGTTTATCACCTTTCGGGGAGAACCTCCGCGAGGAGAGCGAAGGAAAGGTGACAAAGAGCAGGAAATAGTTCAATAGGGTCTCTTCAGACAATAACATTCCTCCTAAAACGGGAGCCCAGGAAGGGGGACGGCAGCAGATGCTCGGCGTCGGGACGCGGTCTGCGCGTCTCGGTAAAGAGGGCGCGTGGTCCCAGCCTCGGTTCCCCGCGTCTGCTCGGCGCTCACCCCACCTCACGCCCTCTGGGAAAAGCCACGCATCGGCGGGGCACCCATTCCGAGCAACCCTGCGCCTTAGCAAGGGGGCTGCCTCTGCGGAGAGGTCGTGGAATCTGCGCCCCGCGCTAACCCTGCCCTGCCCAGCGCGAGAATGCCGGGGGACCACGCGCCCGCAGCCCCCTGGGGAGGGGTGAGCGCGCTCCCCCGGCTACCTTTCCGCCCCTCTCCAGATGGGGCCTGCGGAGTCGCGAGGCCCGGCGCACCCCGCCACTGTCGCATTTCTCAGTTTTTTTTTGTTATTGTTGTCTAGGATGCAAGGAAATGCCCAGGGAGCAGACCCGAGGGGGAAAGTTTCCTTTTGCAAAGAGGCAGCAAAAGGACCTCATTTGCTCCCGGCACCCGGACCCTGCTGAGTCGCCTTCCACCAGGCTCTTCGGGCCATAGGCTTTGGGGGGCTTTCCGGAGAAATTAAAGATGTCTAAAGGTCATCTGTGCGGTTGAGACCTCCCGAGCCTGCGCACTTAGAATAAAGGGGGGTGGGTGTGAGGTGGAGGGAGAAGAAGCGTGGGTACCAGGCAGTTGGGGGTCTCTAAAACCCCCGGCCGGGAGCGAAGCTTAGGACACTCCTTGACCCCTGAGGCGGGAGCTCTCCTGGCGCTGATGCTTCGGGGTCGATTTTCCCAAAGTCTGGAAGCGCGGGTGAGGACCCGCGGGTTTACCAGGTCGCTCCGGTAACTGTGGTTCCGATTTCAATTCGGCTCCACAAACGGGACGGGGCACGGACAAATAACAATAAAGCCCCTGCAGAAAAGAATGTTAGCTGTCAAACGTGAGCAGCGACATTTCTTCCCTCCAGAAGGAAGGTCCAGGGTTCCAGAGCGGCGCGCGGGAAGCTCAGCGCGCAGCTGGGCGAGACGCCGGGGCTTAGGGGCTGCGCCGTAGCTGCGGAGGTCTCCGGACTGTCACCGCCTAGTATTTTTCCTTTCTTCTCTGTGCCTGATTTTCTGGATCTTTGTTCCTTGGTTCTCAGGATAAGCGTCTCCACTCTCCGGGTCCTTTCAATGAAGGCTGCCGTGCATGACAGTTTACAGCCAAAAACTTCCTCCCGCCCAGCTATAAAGAATTCCCAGTTAATAACAAGGTGCTTCCTTGGGGGGAGGAGGGGCCAGGGCTCCCCAGATGTTTCTTTCCCAAGGTCTTTCTCCCGTTGGGAAGTCTAGCCAGCCGGTCCAGAAAAATAAGTGAAGGCCTTACGCTGGGCCTTAGGCTCCACCAATAACTTAAGAAACATTTTACAAAAAAGCACATGCACACACACACACACACACACACACCCCTCATTTCCCAGAGAGGCGGTTTTCCCCAGACCCACCCTCCTCTCAAGCAACAAAACCATTTGTCTTGTGGGAGCCGGTATCAATGGTGCCGTAACACGCTCAAGGACAGTCAGGGCAGGGACAGCGTTGCAGGACCCCCGCCATGCCCTCCAGTTTCCTTCTTTTATTTTTTCTTCTTCCTTAAAAAATAAATTGATTTTTGATTAGATAATCTGTGCTCACTGTAGAATATACTGCACACATGATGGATGTACATATCTGTATATACATGATGTGTGTGTGCTCGTGTGTGTGTGCGCCCCGTGCGCGCGCGTATGAAAATGCAAACCTCAAGCGCTGATCACTGCATGTGTGGGTGTGTTTTCCTCAACTTTTTTTTTTCATTCTGTTCTTCTGGTGAGCCCTTCTTCCATCCTGGTTAAGCAGACTCAACAAAAGCATTTGCGTCCTAAATTTAAGACAACATATAAAGGGCGCTTAATAGCAAATCTTTTCTGTCACTAGTGGGTTTTCTGTCTATCCCACTTGAAAGAAACCCGATGAATTTTGTTATGGTTTTTAAAGTTGCACAATATAATTCTTTAGACTCCATAGCATTGAAAGTTTTCAAAGGCCACTGGGTTGTCTGGGGCATCTCTGGTTTGTGGAAGAGAGCAAAGACTTGTTTCTCAAAGCCTTTCCCAGTAGTGTCCCAGCCCTGGACCTGGCTGACCCGTCACTGCAGCCCCAGGAAGAGGGCAGTCGGGCTCTCATTTTGAGCTTCCAGACCTCTCTCCGGAAGTGCACGGGAGGGTGTGGCCTTGGCAGGTGTGGAGTTGGATTATTAGCCTGAGGAAGTGCTTCCAGACCAAATCCATCCTGGCTATACTTTCTCAGCCACAAAGCTTTGTCACAGATGACAGTGTACGGTTTTCTGATGGGCGTTCACACACCAAAAACAAACAAGCCTGGTGAGGCTGAACGCCTGGGATTGTGACTTTTCTCCGTAAAACTCCAGCGCAGTTGCCTCCGTCCTGGAATCCCAGGCAGCAGAAGAGAAATCTGTAGGTGGCTGGACTATGGTCCCTTCTGTGGCGGGTAGCTTGTTCTCCTGGGTTCTTGAGCTTCTCAGGCCTCGTAGTTCATAGTTTGTCTTCAGGGTGGAATGTCTTTCTCCCGTTTTTCCAGGAAGGCCGGGAAAGCCCTTTCAGCCATCTCTTCAGCTCTGGCCTGCGTTGTGGTAACAATTTCAGTCCTTCTGTTTCCACCTTATCTGTGTTTCCAAATCAGATTTCTTGCCTGTTCTCAGCTTCTCCACTGTTTCATCCCTTAGCCTTTTCTGCATGTATTAAGTGGCTTGTGAAATGTTTTTCCCACACCACTCTGTCAGTTTGCTTTTCTCCGTCACTTTTGGTTTTTACTGCCTCCAGTGAAGAGTTTCTTTTCTGCTGTCGCCTCGGTTTTCTGACAATCCTGATCCCCCAAGTCCCTCGCCTCTGCCTTGCATCACAATCTCCTCGCTCCTTGAGGCGCTGTTTCTTAGAAGCCATGCTTTTGTGTCTCACTGAAAAGGCCAAACAGTTTTCTGAATTCATCTTTTGCTTCCTGCCATTTATTATTTCCAGAGGCTGCTTCTCCTCTGAGTTCTAGGAAAAACCTCACTGCCCCTCACCCTTCACAGTTGGCTCCCTGCTCTTTTCTTTCCCCACCAACTCCTCCTCCATTGGGACAGGGTGCCCGGGGGTCCCCAGCCTGCCGGCTGCTCCACACTGTGAGGCAGGCAAGGTGCAGGGTCTGTCTTACTCACTCGAACCAGCACTGGACTCCTGCTGTTGAGTGCCTAGATTGGCAAAATTGGGATGCTGCCAGCATGGGCTTTTTGTTGTTCGTTATTTTTTTTTTTTTTTTGCGGTACGCGGGCCTCTCACTGCTGTGGCTTCTCCCGTTGCAGAGCACTGGCTCCGGACGCGCAGGCTCAGCGGCCATGGCTCACGGGCCCAGCCGCTCTCAAGCCCCCCTGTAGACCTGCTAGGGGGCATTTTAACAACACGTGGGCGACACATGAACCCTTAACATTCACGAAAATGCAAGAGCCACAGGATCCGGAGCGGCCTTTCTTGAGTCACTACTTACTGACTTGAATCGCCCATCGTCCTGAAGACGGTAAAGCAGGGGTCCCCTGCGGAGTCGTGTACAAAATGAGACCCAAGAATGAAAAGAAATCAGCTCTTCCAAGGGAA